CCTCCTTCCTCCTCCTCCGCCCCCTCCTCCTCCTGCTGCTCCTCCTTCTCCTCCTACTCCTCCTCCATGTTCCTTCCTCCTCGTCCTCATTATCCTTCTCCTCCTCTTCGTCCTCCTCCTCCGCCTCTTCCTCCTTCTCCTCCTGTTCCTCCTCCTCTTCCTCCTCCTCCTCCTCCTCCTGCTCCTCCCCCTCCCCCTCCCCGTCCTCGTCCTCCTCCTCCTCCTCCTCATCCTCCTCCTCATCCTCTTCCATTCCTTTTCCTGAAAGGTAGCTCTTCCCTGTCGCACACCGAAGGCAATCGAAAGGGCGGGCAGGGCGTTTCGCTGGAGACTTCGTCACCATGTATGGCCTTTTGTGCTTAAACATTGACAACAGAATCACAGATGCAGGGCGGGTCGTTTTCACAATGTGGCTCTCGCCTCCGCGCCGCGCACACTCGTTTACAACATTTGCAAGACCTTCACAGATGGAGGGCGGGTGGTTTTCAAACTGTGGCTCTCGCCTCAGCGCCGTGCACATTCGTTTCAAGCATTGCAAAAGATTCACGGATGGAGGGCGTGTTGTCTCACTATGCGGCTCTCGCCTCTGCGCCGCGCACATTCGTTTCAACAAATTTCAAAAGCTTCACGGACTGAGGGCGGGTCGTTTTCAAAATGTGGCTCTCGCCTCCGCGCCGCGCGCAGTTGTTTCAACATGTGCAAAAGCTTCGTGGACTGAGGGCGGGTGGTTATCAAAATGTGGATATCGCATCCGCGCCGCGCATATTCGTTTTTAAACATACTAGAGACTCGCGGATGGAGTGCCGGTGGTTCTCAAAATGTGGCTATCGCCTCCGCGCCGCGAATATTCATCTTCAACATTGCAACAGCTTCACGAATTGAGGGTTGGTGGTTTTCAAACTGTCGCTCTCGCCTCAGCGCCGCGCACATTCTATTTAAACATGTGCAACAGTTTCACGGATCGGATGCGGGTGATTTTCAACATGTGGCTCTCGCCTCTGCGCCGCGCACACTCGTTTTGGTTTGTTTTGTTTAGTTTCTTCGTTTTTTCCCAACCATCCTGTGGTGTTGGGTCCTCGTTTGAAAAGACAGCGCCCCGCGTCCTCCTCCTCTCCTCCTCCTCCTCCCCCCTCCTCCCTCCCACCATCTTCATCACCGGGCGGCGGCACACCCCTCACACATTTCGTGGCCCCATTCGGGAGCTCCACCCAAGTCGGCACACCCCTCACACGTTTCGTGGCCCCATAGGGAGCTCCACCGAAGGCCCCAGTGCCGCCGCCCGCATGCATCCCGCACGCCCAATTCGGCACACCCCTCACACGCTTCGTGGCCATATAGGGAGCTCCACCGAAGGCCCCAGTGCCGCCGCCCGCATGCGTCCCGCACACCCAAGTCGGCACACCCCTCACTAATTTCGTGGCCCCACCGGGAGCTCAACCGAAGGCCCCAGTGCCGCCGCCCGCATGCGTCCCGCACATCCAATTCGGCACACCCCTCCCACGTTTCGTGGCCCCATGGGGAGCTCCACCGACGCCGCCCGCGTGCGTTCCGCACACCCAATTCGGCACACCCCTCACACGTTTCGTGGCCCCATAGGGAGCTCCACCGAAGGACCCACTGCCGCCGCCCGCATGCGTCCCGCACACCCAAGTCGGTACACCCCTCACACGCTTCGTGGCCCCATAGGGGAGCTCCACCGAAGGCCCCAGTGCCGCCGCACGCATGCGTCCCGCACACCCAAGTCGGCACACCCCTCACACGCTTCGGGCCCCCATAGGGAGATCCACCGAAGGCCCCAGTGCCGCCGCCCGCATGCGTCCCGCACACCCAATTCGGCACACCCCTCACACGTTTCGTGGCCCCATTCGGGAGCTCGCTCCACCGAAGGCCTCAGTGGCGGCGATCACATTCGCATGCGTCACCACACCCAATTCGGCACACCCCTCACAAATTCCGTGGCCCGATAGGGAGCTCCACCGGAGGCCCCAATTGCGGCGCTCGCATGCGTCCCGCACACCCACCCAATTCGGCACAAACCCCTCACACGTTTCGTGGCGCCATAGGGAGCTCCACCGAAGGCCCCAGTGGCCGCGCTCACATGCGTCCCCACCACCCATCCCGGCACGCCCCTCACACGTTTCGTGGCCCCATGGGGAACTCCACCGAAAGCCTCAGTGGCGCCGCCCGCATGCGTCCCGCACACCCAACTCGGCACACCCCTCACATGTTTCGTGGCCCCATAGGGCCCCATAGGGAGCTCCACCGAAGGCCCCAATGGCGGCACTTACATGCGTCTCCGCCACCCATCCCGGCACCCCCCCCGCATGTTACGTGGCCCTATAGGGAGCTCCACTGGACGCCCCAGTGGCGGCCCTCACATGCGTTTCCGCCACCCATGTCGGCACACCCCGCACGTGTTTCATGGCCTCATAGGGAGCTTCACAGAAAGTCCCAATGGCACCCATCTCGGCTCACCCCTCACACGTTCCGTGGTCCTATGGGGAGTTCCACTGAAGATGAAACCCACAGCTGCGGTACTCACAACTGCATATGGTTGGGTTCTTCGCCAGTCTAACTTGTCGAAAAAATGCAGGAGCTTCACGGATTGGGGGCGGGTGGTTTTCAAGCTGTGGTTCTCGCCTTCGCGCCGCGCACACTCGTTTACAATATGTGCCAAAGATTCGCGGATGGGGGGCGGGTCGCTTGCAAAATGTGCTCTGGCCTCAGCTCCGCGCACATCCGTTTCAAAATTGCAAGACCTTCACGGATGGAGGAGGGTTCTTTTCAAAACGTGGCTCTCGCCTCAGCGCCGCGCACACTCGTGCGAAACATTTCCTAGAGTTTCACGGATGCTCATGGCTAAAATACCAGAAACGGTGTTTGGAACGATTCGGGGCTGTCAGGACGCAGAAGTTACGTTGACTCGCGGTCTTGCCGTCCCAGGAATGATGATCTGGCACGACTCAGGATCGCCAATACGTCACAGCCACTTTAACTCGTGGCGTTGAAGTCATGAGAGTGGTGCTTTGGCACGCTTCAAGATGTTCATACATGTGTCCCCCAACGGGGCAATTCCCGCAGTGGAAATGACCTCGTTATAGGGGCCTGTGAAGAGGGATCTCGGAGGGAGGGTTTCTGTCAACATCGTTGATGAGTCTTGAATTTACACTGGTCCTCCTCCTCCTCCTCCTCCTCCTTTTCCTCCTCCTCTTCCTCCATTCCTTTTCCTTATAGATAATTCCTCCCTGTCGCACTCCTCCTCCTCCTCCTCCTCCTCCTCCTTTCCTCCTCCTCCTCCGCCCCCTCCTCCTCCACCTCTTTTTCCTCGATCCTCCTTCTGCCTCCTCCTCCGCCTCCTGCGGCCGCATGTCTGCCGCGCGCCAGGCGCTCTTTGAATGGGAGCCCGCGGACACCTCCGCTGTCCCACAAAGACGGCGGCTCCCCCAGGGGTGTCCGGTTGTCTAAGACAGCGGCCACTCCCAAGGCGGAGGGGTCTGCCAGCCCGGGCCTATCGAATTCGTTATACGGGAACTCCACGGGGACCAGGACGACCACGTAGCCCCCGAAGCCCGGCTGCCGCCGTCACGCCCCCCGCGCCCCCGGCCGGCTCGCGCGGCGCCGCGACCAGTCGCTCCGCACACCGTAGCAGCCCGCTCCCACGACCGTGCGGCAGCGGCCAGGGCCCCGCCCGCGCCGCAGCCCGCGCCCGCGCTGCAGCTAGCCTGCCCGGCGCCTCCGGCCCCTGTCGGGCTGGCGCCGCCCGTCCTCCTCCGCGGCAGCAGTCCTGCAGTCCCGCGCGTACCGCTGCTGCCCCCGCGCCCCCGCGCCGCGGCGCCCCCGCGCCAAGCCCGCGCTGGCGGCCTGGGGGGCGCCACCACAGCCGCGCCGCGCGCCGCCTCAGGGCCCATTAGCAGCGCCCGCTCAGGCGCGCCGCGCGCGTCGCCCAGAGGGCAATGCGCCGCCGAGCGCGGCCAGTCGCCGCGGTGTCCCCGCCTGAAGCGCGGCCATGCGGAAGGCCTCCTCCTCCGCTCCTCCTCCTCCGCCTCCGCCTCCTCCTCCTCCTCCTCCGCCTCCTCCTCCATCCTCTTCTTCCTCCGCCTCCTCCTCCTCCTCCTCCGCCTCCTCCTCCTCCTCCTCCTCCATCCTCCTCTTCCTCCTCCATCCTCCATATCCTTCATATCCTCCATCTCCTCCATCTCCTCCATCCTTCTTCCTTCTCACGACCCTGAACCGAACGATCGCCTGGCCGTCGTCAATGTAATGGGCACGCCGTCGGCGCGCTCACCCAGGCCCTCCGCTGTCGCGACATGGACGGCCACGCCTGGGCTTTGAGGCCGCCCACCAGATGCACCCCGGTAGCCGAGACCCGGGGGCGTCCAAGAGGGGGGCGTCCAAGAGGGGGGTTCGCAAATCATAGCCCGAGGCATGTGGGCGGACCATGGGGGGCCGAGGAACGCATTGAAATAAGAAGGGGGGGGCAAGCCATGATACCCCCCCCTGATTATCACCCCCCTCTTGGCCGCCTCCGAGAGACTGAGAGAAGCCTAAGACGAAGCCAGAACTGGGACAAATCGTACTGGCACAAAGCGGGGGTCTATCTGAGGTGCGGCGGTCCTGGAGGATGTATCGAGCGCCGCGGCCGTTCCAGAGTGCTCTGGGACGCTCCGAGACCGTCCCGGAACGCTCTGCAGAACGGTTTATCCCCGCCCGACCCGAAAACCGCTGGCCGATATCCTTCTCTGACATCTGCGAGATGTGTTTTCCAATCCGCGGCCCCAATCAAAGCTGACCGCTTTCCCCATGGCAGTTTTTCGTCCTGGATCTATGTTTGATGGCCCCGGGGGCCGAGAACGGGCCCCCGAAGGGCAAAATCGACGAAGAAACCGCGGTTTAACAAATCGTAAAATCGGAGATCTGGGCTCACGCCACCGGAGCCCCAGAGGGTACGCCTCGACCCGCGGGGCGGGCGGGGATCTGGACGTCTAGCTGGGCGCACGGGCCCTGCACGGCGCCACGCCACGCGGGAAGGGGCGCGAGCCTGCGGCGGGGGGGGGACCAGTGCTCAAGCCGGGCTGAGCTACAGACAAGAAGACACATACAGATCTGCGCACACCGCTGGAGTGCATCATTCCGAGGGTGGCGGCAAAGACGCAACATCACCATATCCATTCGCGTCTACATCACGGCCATGTCGTGGTGTGAACCTGCTTCTCATGACAGTGGCTGGGGGCCCGCGAGGTCTGCCCACAACCAGGCCTGCTCGAGCCGCCCGATCGAGCACGCCGAGCCAGCAGCTCGAGCAGAGCTGCGCGGGCGAACAGCTTTGCTGGACGACAGGTGGATGACAGGTGTGCCAAGCTGTGCCCTCGACCCGAGGGTCGAGGGTGATGGTTTTCGGACGTCTCTAGCCCTTCTCGGGCTCCGGAGGTCTCTGGGGCCATTCGCGGGGACCTCTGGGGGTCAGGATCGAAAGCAGCACCGAACGTACAGGGGGGGGGGGGGGCAGTGCACGGCGTGCGCACATGGCTGTGCGCGTGCACCGTTCTCGGGCGCCAGTGGGCACAATGCTCTGCTGCTGCCGCTGCTGCTGCTGCCGCTGATTGTCATCCTGCTCCTCCTCCGCTTTATCCTTCTCCTCCTCCTCCTCCTCGTCCTCGACCTCCTTCTGCTCCTCGCTCTCGTCTTCTTCCTCTCCTTCTCATCCATCTCTTCTTCTTCTTCTTCTTTTTCTTCTTCCTGATCCTCCTCCTCATCCTCCTGCTCCTCTGAAGTATCCTCCTCTGAAGCATCTCCAACATATCTTGGAAACCCATTCCTGAGAGCGCAGGGCCATGCCTCCAATACCGTTTCATAGTTTTGCTGCTACAATCTAAGCTACGAGTAAACACATGTTCAACTAAATTGCCTCGGCAAACATTTGTTCATATATCTAGTCATCACGCGCAGAGCCAACCTTGCGTGAACAACCCCGTGCATGTGCGAAGGGACTTCCGTCTGGGCCAACTTCCCGGAAAGTCTCAGATAGCATGTCTGGCAAAAACGAATGGAGCAAATGTTTGAATGATCTGCGTGACTCCCGACACGTGCCGGGGCGAGCTACTGCATTGCGCCACAATATCTAAAACACGATGCCGCCACTAGACAAACTAAGACAGTGTCTGACACCAACGCAGAGTAATCAGGCTTACCGCTTACCCCAGCCAAAGTCTCACACCCCTCCTATGCGCGAGTTTCAGGACAGCCAGCCCCAATCAGCAGATGGCCGGTTTCTTTGAGCATGTCTTGACAGCAGTGGCACGAGCAGCAGAAGGGAGGAAGGAGGGCGGAGGGCGGAGGGCTGTCCAAAGACGGCAGCCGCCTCCTCGCGGTGGATGGTCAGGGTCGCGGCCCGCCCTCGTCCTCCTATCCAGCCCCCTTCTCCTCCTTCCCTCCAGTCTCCTCCTGCCATCCTCCTCCCTGATCCTCCTTCCGAAGGCAGTGATGGAGGGAGGCAGGAGGAAGGAAAAAAGGAGGCTCACTCTGCCAAGATCGGCTGCCTTGCGCGCCGCATCGGCGCGCGCCAGTTCGCAGGACGCCAGTTAGCAGCCCACGCTTTGTGGCGGGCCACGGAATGCACGGCAGCCGCACGCACGCGCAGCATTGTGCACAGGTGCGCGGCCACATAACTCTCCTGTCATAGACACAGCTACACAAGCAGAAATGTTCGGAGATCCTCGCGGATTTCGCGGATTGGCGCTGGGCCCCCTGGCGACACTTCCGGCCCGGCACCTGGCGCGTCTCGCACGGCAGGACATGGGAGTCCAGCGCCACTCCAAGAAATCCGTTCGGATCTCCCAAACAGTTTACGGGAATGCAGTATCTTCGCCGGAGCAAGGCTCACAAAGGCTATCTGGACGGGCTTCGGTGTGCGCCAGCAAGAATGCGCTACTATACACTCAAGGCATGCCACCCGTACGAATTCGCAAGCAGCCAAGGCAGGCCGCTGGCCACGGCTGGGCCCCCCGAGCAGTTCTCGCCCAGGCCTTCAGCTCAGGCCAAAAGACGCGAAGAAGTCGTCGCCGACAGGCGGCTCCACGCGCAGTTTCGGCCTGGCCGGTGCGGCCTTGAGGTCCATGCGCTTGATGGCCAGGATCTCCATGTCCTCTGAGGGTGACGGTAGGGCGGGGGGTGACCGACGCAAGGAGGGGGGGAGCATCGAATTCGAATCGGCGATACATCGCCGACAAGTTGGCGATAGGCCCCCCGTAGCGAAGCCACACGCTCCAGGGTGGGGTGGGCTATTACGTGCTTCTCGGCGACACACATTGGCGATTTTAGCGGGTTCATGGGTCCCCCCCCGGAGACTACAGTTGGCACATGCGATCAGACATCTCGCTACGAGAAATGTTCGCCAACGTGGATCCCAAACAATCACATGTTGCACTGTGGATGCGCGGGCAACACACTGGGATCTATGAGGTGTGACGTATGTGATGTGAGCTGTGGGGTGTCAGTTATGTGGCCCAATGGATGCAGTCTACGTGGTGGAATATGATGGCACGATCTACTGTGATGCAAGCTACGTGGTGCAATATATGCGGTGTAATGTCTGTGGTTTGAACTATGTGGTGTGCGCTGCGGGGTGCAATCTACAAGGTGCAATGGATGAGGTACATCCAATGTGGTATGAGCTATGGAATGTAACTTATATGGTGCAATGTATGTGGTGGAAATATGTTTGGCCCGCAATGAGTTGTCACTCCCAATGCTCGCGCAATCATCTCTTCCATCCACCCACAACTCGATTTGCAAAACCCATACGGCGGCGATTGCGATGACTGCTTAATGCTGATTGGCGCATCGCTGCGGCCGCACTAGCGCGCGCAGGTTCGCGCGCAGAGCGGCCAGCTAGTCTGGCGCGACCAGCGCGGCCTCGGTGGCGCTGACCGCTCGGGATTCCCCAGCTCGTTTTGCAGGCCGCGCAAGCGCGGGCACTTCAGTGCGAGTCGGTGACAAGGGCGGGCGCGGTATCATGGCGACGTCGACGGCGACAGACACGATGATGATTGTACCGGTGCTTGTGATGACGATGACGATGACGACGGCAAGAACAATGACGGCGCCGATGCTGATTACGCCGATGAAGATAGTGGTGTCCACACGTCGGTGATGAAAATTTTGGAAGGGTTTCGACATGCGCGCGCGGCCGATGTGCGCAAATGGCCAGCATGCTATGATTTAGCGAGGATCGTGCCCCACCCCCCAGCACGCGCGCAAGGGCGTTCAAATGATTTCGAGCACGCGCGAGATGTCCGTTTGATCGCATTCGATGAACACGTTGGGACAACAACGCGCGGTCTTGTCAAGATTTCGCTAGAGCACACGCGCAGAGTTTTGCTTGAACGATCTGGGTGTTGTTACAGGTGTTCGGACACATGGTCTTGAAATCCGTACGAAACCGATGGTTTGAAAGATTCCGGCATGCGTTCGCGACGACGCGCACGCGATGTTGCAAGGGGTTCGAAATTACCGATGTTTTGATGAACGAGCATGCGCGCATAATGTTTTTTGGAGAAGATGGTGGGGGGAGGCGAGCCCGGCTTGGCTGGGATGGTCCGAGTTCATATTTGAAATGAACGATGTGGCAGAATCGTATGTGACTTGCACATCCCCAGGGGGTCGATGACCCGGCCTCGGGGTGGGGGGCGGTTGATCCGAATTCCATTTTAGAAAAGGAGACTCTCTGCAGTGCAATCTATGTGGCGCGAGCTATGTGGTGCGAGCTGTATGTGAGCTATGTGGCGTGTGCGCACGGTGCGCTCACGAGGCGTTCACGTGCGGCAACGTGGCAAAACCTCGTCGGACCCACCCAGCGCACGGGGCGGCCACGGGCGGCAACGTGGCGAAACCTCGCCAGACCCATCCGATTCCTTAGTGAGGTAAGAACCCGTAGGTAAGAACCCGTAAGTGACAGCGCTGTTTGGGCAATTTCAGGGACATGTTTGTCGAAGATCCCTGAGCTTCCGAAGGTGCCACAAGCCTTCTGCTGGTCCCCAGGGCCATCGGGGGAAAAGATATTTCCGCGGGACACCTGCTGGCAACCTACTGTCTTGGTTGGTGCACCTGACTGTACGGACCTTTGACGATGCCCCTGATCCTCGGGTGCCTGCGCCGGCTTGGGCTCCTCGGCTAGCCGCCGCGCCCCCGGCTGTGCAACCCGAGCGGCCGCGGGCGCCGCGGGCGGCGCGCGCTGCTGCTGCTGCTGCTGCTGCTGCTGCTGCTGCTGCTGCTGCGCGGGCGCCCTCGGTCTGGCGGTGGCGCTGCACGCCTTGGGGGGGCAAGGAGATACCGATACCCCGCCACGGATGTGACTCTGTGGCGGCGCCGCCATGCACGCTGCGGCACCGAGTATGGAAATGCGTTCGCGTTGATCCCCTCTCAAATTCTGGTCCCTGGACCTCTCCAACGGGGTGCAGGATTTCGAGGCGGATTCAGCCGTGCCGACGGGGGAATGGTGGCGGCATGGGTAGCTTTCCCTCCTCTGGCGCCTCCCCGAACCAATCCTCAAAGTCGTCGAAGTTGAAGTCCCTCGCGCTCCTGGGGCTCGCGGGGCTGCCGGAGGAGGCGGCGGTGGAGCAGGAGGCGCTGCGGGCAGGGCCGGGAGCGAGCGCCTCGCTACGGCCGCCGTGCTCGCACCCAGGCGCCTCCTCGCCGCGAACGAGGGCCGCCAGCCGGTCGCGGTAGATCTCCGCCGGCCTGCTGCCGTACTTCTCCCGGATGCTCGTGCCCTTCTCGATGCCGTTGGAGCCGAAGTACTGGACCAGCTGCTCGTTGCCCCCGGAGAGCTCCATGGCGCGCAGCTGCTGGTCGGTCCAAGAGTCCATCGCCACGGAGCGCACGAAAGACAGGTGCACCCCCATGGATCGGTGGGCCCCCGAGCACTCGAGGCACATCAGGCACCCGTAGGTCACGCTCGCCCACTGCGGGTTCTTGTTGCCGCAATCCGCGCAAACCCTGTTCCCGGGGAGTGCCCGGATGCGTACCTCCACCTCGCGGGGCATCTGCATGGTGGCCATGCTGACGGGTGGCAGGCGCTGGGCAGCTCGCGAGCGTGGGGGGTCAGCGGAGGCCGAGGCTTGATCCGAGACGGAGGGACGAGGAGGGACTGACAGCTGCTCAGATTTGACCGCAATGGGCGGAACGAACAAGTAAAAACTCACACGTAAAGCATGGCCCCGCAGATCAACTATAGACTGGCGCGCTCGGCCACAACCGTGGCGGCGGCTGGAGAAAGACAGAAATCAGACAACGCAACTCGCACCTGGCCTTGTGACCGAGTCCGCTGCAAATAGTAGCGAGCTGCATGACTCACCACTGAGAAACGGAACTCACACGCTACGAATTGAGCGGCGTCCAACGATTGCATCTGCGGCGGCCGTTGGCGTTTAAGTTATTAGACAACACATGCGTTCCCCACATTTCCAACGACACTGCTGCCCACTGACGCACAAACACACAACCACACACACACACACAAAGACGCACACACAAAGACGCACACACAAAGACGCACACACACACACACACACACACACACACACACACACACACACACACACACACACACGCACCCAAACACACACACACATGTTGCCGTCGCGCCCCTCGCGCAGCGACAGAGCGTAGAAAGATTAACGAAACGGGCGCGCACGCGCGTCTAAGGGCCGAGCACTCATGCCGCTACACACATACGTGCACATACATGCACCGACAAAGCGGTACAAATATAATCCACTGGCTCCCGCCTTGCGCTGCTACCAGACTGTGCGGATGAATGCTCTTTGCAGGTTCGCATGTCCAATGTTTCACGAATGCTTTCTGCATGTGGAGCGCCATGGAACGTTGTTGTACACAGGTGATCTGTGCGCTGGTCACCATCAAGTCCTGCGCATCCTGTGTTCATCGGAGTTATTACCTATGTGTGGTGTACGGAATTCCACGAATCCAGGTTGTGCTTGTTGCTGAATGCGCCCTTGGTTCGATGGAAGTTTTGCTACCACCTGGCTATGTTCCCGTCAGCAATGCCTTTTCTGAAGGAGGGCTTCTCCCCGAACCCCCCCCTGACCATATTCATTCAACCCTGGTTGCGCAGTGCCTCCTCAGGGCTTTCCAAGAACTCCAAATCCTTCCAAAGCCTTCCAGGGCTTCCACGGGCTTCCCAGTGTCACCCAAGGCTCCTCAGGGCCTTTCCAAAGCCTCCAGATGCCTCCCACGGTCTCGAAGGTTGTCTTCAAGGAACAACCACTCAGGAGGCACGAAGCACAAGATGTGTTCAAATGTTGTGGTAAGCCGCCCGATGTGTTCCCAAGAGGTTCAACTACAGCTTCCATGCGCCCCCCAGGCGTTCCAAGATGACCCTAAATTACCAAAGACTGCCGAAATGCAGTCCCCACAGACCCCCAAATGACCCCGTGCTGCTTAGCATTGCCCGGCGAAGCCCCAAGATGGCCACACGGTGGCCCCCATATCTCCGCAAGTGTGTCCATGATGGCTCCATGTGACCCAGAGCTCGCAAGATTCTTTCCAAAGGCCCCCAGACGGCCCGTCGATGCCCCAAGATGGGCCCCTGATGGCTCAAAGATTGCGCCACTATGGCCCCAGACGGAGGCCCGGTCAAACCACAGAGGTTGGCCCGCAAACGGGCGAGATCTGGAGGGAGGGGAGAGGAACAAGGGAGGGCGAAAGCGAGGGTGGGAGTGAGCTGGAATGGGAAAGGAAGGCGAGACGAGCTTAGGGGCTCTCTGGAGCTCCTGGAACGGGACCCTGCAGCCTCCGAGCGTTCTGGATCTGCCAGCGGCGTGCCTCCGAGACCCGGTCAGGCTCTGTGAGAGCACGCTCGAGCCCGCCCCACCTCGCCGGGCGTGTCGCCAGCGACCTCCCCACCACGTATGACCCCGGAGCTTTTAAAAACTTGAAGCAGCTTCCTGGATGGAGGGCCGGCCGTTTCCAAAATGTGGCTCTCGCGGTAGCGCCGCGCACATTCGTGTTAATAGTTTGCAGCAGCTTCACGGATGGAGGCTGATTCCTTTCCATATTGTAGTTCTCGCCTTAGCAACAGGAACATTGGCCTTTAAAGTCTGCGAACGCTTTATGTGTGGAGAGTGGTTCCTTTTTGCGAAGATTGCTCTCGCCTCAGCATCGCGTGCATTCGTCTAACAAGTTTGCGGCTGTGTCACGGATTGGGGGCGGGTGGTGTTCCAAAATGTGGCTCTCGCTTCAGCACCGCGCACATTCGGTTAAGAGTGTGGGGGAGATTCTCGGATGGAGGGCGGTTCTTTTTCCAAATTTGGCTCTCGCCTTGGGGCCGCGCGCGCTCGTCTTAAACATTTACCACAGCTTCAAGGATTCTTACGTTTGATGTCCAGCGCCATTTACGTAGAATTGTCAGGGCGCAACAGTCACGTCGATCCGTGTTGACGTCCCAAGAAACACTTGCTGGCATGATTCGCAGCCGCCAGGACGCAACAGTTATGTTCATTCGCGGCGTTGAAGTCCAAGGAAGGGTGTGTTGGCATGGTTGGGGATTATCACACGTTTGTCTTCCAAATGGACTTCTCAACAGTGAAAACAACTTCACGCATGGACCCATGAAGAGGAAGCCTGGAGGATGTATAACAACATCGTCCACGCGTCTTGGTTTAGTCTGGTTTTCCTCTTCCTCCTCCTCATCATCCTCCTCTTCCCTCCACCTCCCTACCCTTTCCCCTCCCCCGCATATTCTTTTTAACTACTACTATTATTGCTCCACGGTTGAGACGAGACAAGGATTTCGCGCTCGGGGATTTTGCGGACGGGTCAGGGCATCAGTCAAAACAGATCGAACACTCTGGCACGACAATCGATTGGCTGACGGCGACTGGGCCGAAAAAAGAAAACTGAAGAAACACTTTGACACAATTCGTGGGAGAATGAAGGATGCCAAAGCTGGTTCGTTGACAGCGATAAGAGAGCCGAGACGTTGGCAAATACGTTTTCAAAGTGCAGTGGGCCACATGCCTGACAACAAATGGATTCCTTGACTGCTTCCCCATACGATGCTGGTGAAGAGGGGTCAGGGCCATTTTTCAATGGCGAAAAACAAAGGAGTTCTGCCGTTTATAGGCACCCCGCCCGCTCGCTTAGGAACGGGCCCGTAGGGCCGTAGGGTGGGCGGAAGGAAAAGGAGATGCAACCACGTGCTCGAAGCCAGAACGCTGCGGAAGAGGGAAGGAGGGGAGGGGGAGAGACAGGGGCAGCAAGCGAGCGGTGCGCCCAGGAATCCACCCGTTACAGCAGGGCCCTAGCAGAATATCCCTTGACTGCTTCCCTATACGATGCTGGGGAAGAGGGGTTATAAGCACCCCGCCCACTAAGCAAAAGAACCGCCACGAGATCCTGCCTCGCCACCTTCCTCGCGAACCCCCTCGCAGCCCAGGCACCGTGGACGGGCCGCGGGCTGGGGGAGCAGGACTGCGGGGCACCCCCCGGCCGCCGCTCCAAACGAGCGCGCCCAGCGCCTCCAACACCAAACAACGGCGGGCGCGCGCAAGGCGTAAGGTCGCCGCGTGCGTGGGCCTCCCGCGGGGCTTGCGCGCGCCAAGCAACAACAGAGAACTGGGACCATGTGGGCCCGCGCACAGCATGACGGGCACCATTGGGTGGTGTCCAAGCCCTGTGGCCCGACACTCTTCCAGCGGGGTCGCGCGAAAAGGGCGCGGCGCCCCCCGCCACCCATCCTGCGCGCCAAGCCACTGCCCCGACCGAATGTGGCAAAAAAACTGTCGGGACCAAGCCTAACAGGCTAGGCCCGCGGTGCCGACGCCGGCGCGGGATACCGAAAGGGAGGGCGCCCCACGCCCTGCGAGGTGGCGACTTTCAAACGGCCGCGGAGCGCCGAGCCTCGGCCCTCAGGGCACGAAGTAAACTTAAAAACTCGGAAGCGCTGGGAACGAGCCCCCCTATAGCGGCCCCTGGCGCGTCATGGGGGGGCCCCGCTCCCGCTCCCTCTCTCCCTCGGCCGCATCTTGCTGAGTGCTCGGGTTACCCTTTCCCCGCCCGAGGGCCTTCCCCGCCGGGGGCGGGCTCCCGGTCGGCCCCGCGGAGGGCTCGTGAACGGCCTTCCGGTCGGCCTCTTGGTCGACCTGTTCTGCCTGGCCCCGTTCCCTTTACCGGAACTGGGCTTGCCGCCAGCGGCCTCGGGCGGGGGCGTCCCAAACCTCCCAGGGGGGCCCCTCCGCTTTCCTGCCCTTGCCTCGCGCCTGTCCAGTCGGTTTCACCCGTCGTTTTGGCAGAATTCGGCGCCCTGACAAGATTCGGAGGCGAAGCCGCATCGTGGCCGCGCTGACATAGGGCCCCCGCCTCTCCCTCGGAGCCCACCGGCCTCCTCCTCGTCCTCCCCCTCCTCGTACTCTCCTTGGTCCACCCTGGACCAGGGCTCGGATCGGACTCTCCCGAGGGCCCCTCCTCCCTGGGCGTCGCATGTCCCCCAATTTGGCCTCCGCCACTCGCTTCATCAGCGGGCGGGTTTGGGGGGCGCCCGGGGTTCTGGGGGGTTGCCCGGGGGGCTCCACGGGGTGAATGATCTGGTCCGAATCCCGCGCCGGAGCGCCACTCTTTCCCTTGGAAGACGCAACCCGCGTCCTGGGGCTGGCGCTTACGGAAATCCCAGGGCCGGCCCTGGGCTTCCGAGTCGCCGCGGTGGTGCCTTCTTTAGTATAGGCCCGTGGGCTCGGCGACGCCCCCCCGGCCCTCCCCTTGGCGGGCTTGGAGCGCCCCTTGCCAATACTTGGTGGACGGGCGGCAGCCGTGGAAGGGAACGCCGCGGGCCCGCGCGCGGCTCCTCCGCCGTCTCCCAGAGGGGGCGCGGCCTGTCCTTCCCTGCCGTTTCCGGTTCCCCCTGGGGTTGGGCCGACGCGGCCGAGGTCGCGCCCCCAGCATCCTCCGTCACGCGCGCGCCGGGAGCTCCAGCCCGCGCGCGGGGAGGTCGTCGCGGAGCCAGCGGGGTTCCGGATTGGGTCCTTCCCTGCCCGTTTCCTCCACCGCCCCCATGCCCACCCTGGGGGCGCTGACTGCGGGCAGACCGAGCCCGCCCAGCGTGCGATCGACGCAAGGAGCGGGGCCGCGAGGCGCGCCGGCATGGCGGCCATTGGGTCCAGGGGTTTCCCCTAAGAGAAAGGAAACGCAACCACTAGCTCGAAGCCAGAAGGCCGCGGACGAGGGAAGGAGGGGAGAGAGAGGGAGAGAGAGAGATAAAGAGAGAGAGAGAGAGAGAAAAAAAAAAGAGAGAGAGAGAGAGAAAGAGAGAGAGAGGGGAGCAGCAAGCGAGCGGTGCGCCCAGGAATCTACCCGTCACAGCAGGGCCCTAACAGAAGCAGAAGCAATGCATGCAATTTGGGTCCCGTGCTCGACGTTTCCACGGGCCCTGTTACTCAGTCAGAAGTCTGCCGAACCGCCAACGGGCTCAAGCGCAATCGCGCTGCCGGCCGCAACGGCATCCCGCCGAATTCTGAGAAGCACTATGCAGGGAAGGCACGCCTGAGTGTAAATGGGCGACTTTGCTGTGCACCCGATCCTGAGTGGAGAGGTCGGTGCCACGCGCGTAGCACCAGGCCGTCGCGACAACCATTTCCAAGAAGTGGGGCGCGGCGCAGCGTGCGAACTACCGCCCGATGTCGTCATTGCCCATCGGCTACAAGCTCAACGACGTGCCAGCACTGCTGAACAGGTTGAAAAAATGCCGGCGCGGAGTCTCGAATCTGGAACAATCTATTTGGGTTCCGATTAGGCGCGGGACATCCGAGGCTCTGCTCGTGGCGAGGGAACGTCTGGGATGGGCAAGCTACTATACCTGGCCTTGAATTGCGCCAAGGCGTTCGACAGCGCGTCGCCAGGACGCCCTGGTGCAACCGCTCACGTGACTTGGCGCCCCCAGCTTCTTTGCCGAAGCTGCGCGGTCGATCTGCGCAGATCGTTCCTTCCGCATCTGCGACGCCGAGGCGACGTCAGATCTGCATCCGCAGGAGGTCGAGATCTCGCAGAGATGCCCGCTATCGCCTCTCTTCTTTCCGATTGTCATAACCGTCCTGATGCATGACGCAAAGGGAGCATTCCAGAGTAGGGGGTTGTCGGCACAGGATGGTTCCCAGTCGGCGGGCTCATCTACGCGGACGACACATGGCTTGTCGGGTCGACTGTCGAGTTCGTCGATGCTCTGATGCACACACGCACACGCAATTCATGAGACAAGCCAAAACTACGGCTTGGCCTTCAATGCAAAGAAAATGGAAGCCTTGCCCGTACGCTGCGACGCGGACATCCGCGGGCTCGACGGCGCGCAGATCCGACACAAGGAGAACATGGTGCACCTCGGATGCTTTTTGGACGCCTCGGGCTCCAGCGGCGCGGAACTGAACAGGAGGATTGACATGGCAGAACAGGAATGTCTACCCGCTTCGTGCAATCTGGAGCACGCACAAAAGTTGCAATATTGAAAGCCTGCGTCGTAGCCAAATTCATGTATCGCCTCCATACGCTGTGGCTGAACGTACCTGAGCGCAATAAGCTGGACGCATTCCACGCGCAACGTCTGCGCAGGATGGCTGGCATCGGCCATTCACATTCCAGCCGCGTCGGCCGCAACGCGACCGTACTGCAGACCAGCGAATGCCGCAAATTCAGCACCACACTTGCGTACAGGCAAGTGTGTCTGTTGGGTCGATCGCAATTCTTCCAGACGTCAGCACCGTTGGGCACTTCGCACTCCAGCAGCATACCTTCGCCTTATCAGAAGGAGACGGCCCCCGAAAGGGGGAAAGGCAGAGAACCACGTGGAAACGCGGAATCTACGAACTTGCCGTCGGAGCCGCCGGAGGTCCGAATGCGCTGCACGGATTGCGACAAGGCCGTCCAAGCACGGGCACGCCCTTTCCGTGTAAGTCGTGCCTCCGCCAGCCTCCTCCTCCTCCTCCTCTTCCTCCTCTTCCTCCTCCTCCTCCTCCTCCTCCTCCTCCTTCTCCTCCAATTGCTGAAAGCAGAGAATCCGAGGCAGGGCATCCAGTTGCCTTGCATCTTTTCGTTCGTACATTATTCTGCTTGTCTGACTATTGGTTGACGCGTTCCCTTCCCCCTTGCCCCTCGCCTGTAGTCCCTGCCTTATTCTGCGGGTGCGATCAAGCTTTTGTCGACATCCGCAGGGGCCTCGAAATAAGAGTGCTAATCCCACCGGCCCTTTGGGCGTAAGTTATCAAATGAGCTCTTTCTTTCATCTTCCAGAACTCTCCTCCATTCGGGGAGGGGTGCCATCCCCCTCCCTTCCCTGAGATATGCTTCATTTGTTTTTGGGGGGGCCGCGCGATATGTCAGAGGGTCTTTTTTCGCCTAAGATGGCTCCAAGAGGGCCGCCGATGCTCCAAGATGACCGCCAAGGCGGCTCAAGATAGCCGAAGCTGCTTCAGGATAGCTTTCGACGTACCTCCAAGAGGCCCAACGAGGGCCTCCAGACCGTTCCAAATGCTCTCGGAGCCTCTTCGAGACCCCCCCAAGAGGCCCAAATCCTTCTCACACCTAAGACAAATAAAGAAGTGTTGCCTTCTCGCCTTGACGCCTCCGATGCGCTTTTGGGGCCTCAAGATTACCCCAAGACGGCCCACGAGAGCTCCAAGGGGAAGGGGGTGGCAAGGGGCCCCCCAAATGGCCCTAAGAGTGCCCAAGATTGGCCCAAGCGCGCCCCAAGAGCGCCCCAACACGCGGTTTTGATGGCCCCCGGGGGGGGGGGAGGGGCAGAAATCTAGGACCCCCCCCTCTGTTGATCGATAGCTCCAAGATGGCCTCAAGGCCCTCCAGGGCTCCGAAGAGGGCCCCACGAGGGCCGCCCCAAGACAGCACCAGTAGCGCCCAAGACCGCCCAAAAAGCGTCCCACGAGGGCCCCAAGAGGCGGTTTGCCACCTCCTACTCATCCTCCTCCTCCTCCTCCCCCTCCTCCTCCTGCCCATCCTCCTCCTCCCCTCGCCCCCGTTCTCTATGGATCAGCCGATTTCTGATTCACTAAATGTGTATCTTCGTCCCTTTTCCCGGCAGCTCTCATGAACAGGGTTTCTGAACGGGCTGGTCGGGAGACGCGAAGCGTGAAGCATGTAGCCTTTGTTACACAGCAGAGCCACTCGAACTGTACGATAGCGGCTTGTTTCACCATCTTGCCAAAGCACCTTTGACGTGCCGGGATCCTGCAGACTTCAGTCCCCCAGCGGCAGGGCACGGGAGAGGGAAAGGAGAAGGAGGTGAGTCGGGGAGAGCGGGATGAGCTGGGGGAGCGGGGTGAGCTGGGAAGAGCTGAGGAGGCAGACGTGGAAGGGGTGAGAGCGGGGGGACTGGCTCGGGGGAGGGATGGGGGGAACACTGACCTGAAATCGGCGATGCATCGCCGATAGGCGGGCGACAGCGAAACCACCGTCTCCTGGGCGGATACCGAGCCCTGATTGGCGATGGGATTGGCGATCTGGGGATCGGTGTCTCCCCCATCGAGTCTGATCCTCCCCTTTCGCACCTCCCCTGAATACGTGGAGGGGGGGGAGCGGGGCATTGGCAAAAGAAGCACACACACAAACATCAATCTTCGGATGTCCGAGCAGATTTCTTGTATCGGCGCTGGGCCCCCGCGCGCGGAGTGCGCCGCCAAGGATACCTAACGCCGATCCAAGAGATCTGCGCGACCATCCAACAGTTTATGCGTATGCCGGTTTTCCTCCTTCGAATCGGGGGGAACACCTGGGGAAGGAAGAGCGGCGGACGGAGGGGGGGCGCTGGGGGTGTTCACAGAAAACAACATGTCGCCGCGGCATTCATCCCGAACGCGCCCAAATAGACAAAGCCGGCACCGCGACGAACCTTGCATCCGAGGCGGAGCTTGCCCCGGTGACCGAGGCTTCTCCCCAAGACGTAAGGCCGCTCGTCGGCACAAGCGACGCGGCGATACATGGAAGGTGCAGGATTGTGTCCGTCAACCGAAGGGCGGCGGACGGGAAGGGGAGCGGAAGGGCGCGGAATTGGCGCGGACGCAAGCCCAGAAAACTAAGAATCGAATCGATAAGTCGGATCGGCGATCGAATGAATCATCTCGGCGGAAGTCGGCGACCACCTCGGGAGGAATCGGATCGGCAGACATCGGCAAGCTAGTAAAGCCTCCGTTGGGAAACCGGAACCCAAATCGGAATCCAGGATCGAATCGAATCAGAATCGGAATTCATCGAAATCGAATCGAATCGAATCGGAGGGGTCGAAATGAGCCGTGGGAGCGACGGAGGGGAGGGCCGCGCGGGCGCGGGAGCTCGGCCGCCCGCCTCCTCTCCCCGCTCGGCGCTCAGCAGCCAGCCCAGCAGCAGGCGTCGGCTCCCTGGCGTCGGGCGTGCGCTGCGGGCGAGGGGGGCGCCGCAGGCAGGGAGCGGAGGGGGGCAGGATACAATCGAGGGGCCCTGATGATGATGATGATGATGATGATGATGATGATGATGATGATGATGATGATGATGATGCTGATGCTGATGCTGATGCTGATATGCTGCGGATGGTGAAGCTGATGCTGCTGGTGACGATGATGAATGATGCTGATGATGGCGATGCTGATGATGCTGATGATGCTGATGATGAGTGACGCTGGTGATGATGTTGATGCTGATGCTCATGATGCTGCTGATGATTACGATGATTACGATGATGCTGATGACTACGATGCTGACGACGATGATGATGCTGAGGATGACGATGGTGATGATGACGATGATGGTGATGACGATGATGGTGCTGACAATGATGATGCTGATGATGATGATGATGATGACGATCATGGTTGTGATGGTGAAGATAGTAATGACGATGATGGTGCTGATGATGCTGAGGATGATGATGATGATGATGACGATTGTGATGACGATGTCGATGGCGATTCACATGACGATGCTCATGTTGTTGTTGATGATGATGATGCTGATGATGATAGTGATGACGACAATGACGATAGTGATGTTGGTGCTGCTGATGCTGCTGCTGTTGATGATGACGGCGAGAGGACGAGGAAGATAATAGAAGGAAGCGAAGGAGGAGGAAGAGGAGGACCAGTGGGAACCCAAACCACATCAACGATGTTTCAATACACCCTCCCTCCAAGCCCCCTCTTCGTAAGTCCATGCGCGAATGTTGCGTCATTGCGGGAAATGTCCCGTCGGAAGGCAACCGCCTGAGAATTCTCAACCGTACCAAGAAATCCGTTCATGGTACTGCAGCAACGCGAGTCAACGTGACCGTTGCGCCCTGACAATCCTGAGACATGCCAGAACACCGTTCCTGGGACTTCAGCACCGCGAATCGTCGTGACAATTGCGTCCTCACAACCCTCAACCGCGTCGACACACCATTCCTAGGATTCCAGCCAGACGAATCGTTAGTAGTGTCGCGAACTTTCACGACGAATGTGCGCGGCGCTAGGGCGAGAGCCACAATTTGAAAGGGAACTGCCCTCAATCCTTGAAGCTGCTCCAAAGTGTTACGATGAATGTGCGCGGTGCGGAAGCGGGAACAACATTTTTAAAATCACGCGCCCTCCATCCGTGAAGCTGTTGCAAGTTTCAAGCTTCTGGGCCATAAATGGCGAGGAAGTCTCCAGCGAAATGCCCAGCCCGCCCAAGCGACACGTCTAGAGGTGCGACAGGGAGGAATTCTCTAGACGGAAAAGAAAAGGAGGAGGAGATGAGCGTGTCAGCATGAGAAGCGGAGGAAGAGGTGGAGGAGGAGGAGGCGCCACTCCGTCACCTGGAGCGGGGCGGCGCGTCACCTTGAGACACGAGCGTCCGCAGCACCGAGGAGGCCGAGGAGAAAAGCCAAGCGAGCCGCACGAAGGCAAACAGAGGGGCCCAAAGACGCACACAGAAGCCGAATGGGTCTCCAGAGGCCCAAGAGGCTCGAACGTGCCCCCCAAAGGACAGGGGGATAGCCGCAGGATGGCCCAGGATGCATGCCATTCGCCATCCAGCCGATGATCCGACTGCATCTCCATCCCCAACTCTTTTCGCTCACCTCCCCCGCATTCCTCCACTTCCCCCTGAGACTTACACCTCGCCCTCTCCTTCCTTTTCAGTTCCTCCCTCCATTCCCTCCAAATGCTTCCCTCCATGTCCTGGGCGTAGCGAGAGGGGCAGCAGCCGCAACTGGAAAAATGGCAAGTGGAGGAAGATGAAGAGGAAGAAGAAGACTAATTATTGTACGACGTCAAAGAAGAAGCAGAAGAAGAGGAGGGGGAGACGGATGGACGGAGGGATAGAGTGGGCGATGGGCCCAGTCGCGCGCAACCTGAAACAGCATCGGCGCACCTTCGGGGGTTCGCACGCCCAAGAGCCTTCACATCATCGCCTTCAGCATCACTACATGAAGGCGCCTCCAGCAAACCCCGCTGACACCCCTAATGAACGCTATGTGTTGCTTATCGGTGCCACCAGTGCCTGGCCAAATGCCACAATAACGGCGACCAGAACGAGATGTTGCGAAGAGGGCACGGCGACTTTGCGCTGAAGCTTGCGCGGACCGCGCGGACCGCTTGCTCACGAGCCTACGCGGCCATGTTTCGCGCGAGTGTCCGTGCGACCTCGTTCCTTTGACGTCACTCACATGCTTGTCCTGTGGCTCAAGAATCACTGCATCCCAAAAGGGAGCGAGCCGCATCCGCAACAGCGGGTTCTCAAAACAGCTGTGCGCAGGCCCGCGCAGCGATGTGCATAACAAAAATCGCCCCATCTCAGACTACCGCGCCAGTCGAGTGTGAAATCCGCCGACCCTGTCGGCGTGTGTGAGGGGCTTCTCCGTTCGACTCGTCGTCTCCGTCGTCTCCGTTCTCCCCCTCCCAGGGCTCTCCTCCTCAAGCGCGCTACCCAAAGCGAAATTAAACGACGTCGTAGTGGAGTCGAAGGGAAGCCCCTTCCCTTTGATCCCTTCCCCGCAGGGGGGGGTGGAGGGGGGGGGGCGGGGCAGATACGACGCCCGCCGGGGCGCACTTTCATGGAGCGGGCACGCACGGGATGCACTTCCTCCTCCTCCTCCTGGTCCTCCTCCTCCTCCTTTTCCTCCTCCTCCTCCTCCTCCTCCTGCTCCTCTCCTCCTTCTCCTCCTCCTCCTCCTCCTCCTCCTCCTCCTCCTCCCGCAGAGGCGTCCCGGGAGCGGGCCCCGAATCAAAATACCACCCCCCTAGGGCGCATTTTCCTCGAGCGGGCATGCCCGAGATGCACTTCTTCCTCTTCCGGGAGCACGTCCCAAGTCAGAATATCACACTCCCGGGGCGCACTTTCTCCGAGCGGGCACACAAACGATGCACTTCCTCCTCCTCCTCCTCCTCCTCCTCCTCCTCTTCCTCCTCCTCCTCTCCTCCTCCTCCTCCTCCTCCTCCTCCTCCTTCTTCTCCTCCTCCTCCTTCTCCTCCTCCTCCTCCTCTCCTCCTCCTTCTCCTCCTCATCCTCATCCCCCTCCTCCTCCTCCTCCTCCTCCTCCTTCTTCTCCTCCTCCTCCGCCTCCTCCTCCTCCTCCGCCTCCTCCTCCTCCTCCTCCTGCTCTCTCCTCCTCCTCCTCCTCCTCCTCCTCCTCCTCCTCCTCCTGCTCCTCCTCCTTCTCCTCCTCCTCCTCCTCCTCCTCCTCATCCTCCGCTTCCTCCCCCCACTCCTAGCCCTTTCGATCAGGGTCGGCGGCACCGGCCGTCAGGCCTCTCCAATCACAGCAGCCATAATTTTCGGAGAGTGGTGGGGGGGTGGAGCGACCTGCGACGAAAGTGCGCGCATCTTGCCTCCGCGTGCGCCCCGTGCGCGCCCCGGCGCGGCAAAGGCGAGGGCGAGGCGTGCCGCGCAGGCACGGGGAGGGGGGGGGGAAGACAACGCACCTCAATCCCCGCCTGGCCCCCGCCCGGCCCCCTCTTGGGCTTGGGCGAAGATTCTCGAAACCAGGCTGCGATGATGGTTCGCCAAGACGGCACAACTGGTAGACCTCTGCCCCCGTACAATCCCCACCTGCCCAGGTGAGGATGGGGGTCGCCTTCTCCTCCTCCTCCTCCTCCTTCTTCTCCTCCTCCGTTCCCTCCAACCCCTCCTCCCCCTCACCCTCCCCCACCGCCTCCTCCTCCTCCTCCTCCTCCTCCTCTTCCTCCTCCTCCGCCTCCTCCTCCTCCTTCTCCTCCTCCTCCTTCTCCGTTCCCTCCTCCTCCCCCTCCCCCACCCCCTTCCCCCCCCCCTCCGCCTCCACCTCCTCCCTTCCTCCTCCTCCTCTTCCTCCCTTCCCCCTCCTTCTCCTTCTTCTCCTCCTCCTCCGCCTCCTCCTTCCTCCTCCTCCCCTCCTCCTCCTCCTCCTCCTCCTCCTCCTCCTCCTCCCCTCCTCCTCCTCCTCCCCCTCCCCCTCCCGCTCCCCCTCAGACGTGCGTATGGAATCAGATGTGTTCCACGTTTACCTTTGAACCACCAGGGATATTAGATATTTGTGTTTTGCCCCCCCCAACGCGTTCCCAGCCGCGCTAAAGTATTCAGACTCACGATGTGCACCTGGCGATGCGAGTCGAATCGCAAAGAGCAGCGAGAGGATGCTGTATCGCAGGAAGGCCAGACCCATGATCATGTGCACCGCGTGCACTGTTGCCCTCCTCCTCATCCGAGGCCACTCGAAAGGGCGAACTGGGCGTTTCGCCTGAGACTTCCTCACCCTCTATGACCCTGAAGCTAAAGAAGTGGCAGCAGCTTCACAGATGGAGGGCTGGCGGAATTCCGAATGCGGCTCTCGCCCTAGCGCCGCACAGACTTGTCTTAAACATGTGCAAGAGCTTCACAGATTGAGGGCGGCTCCTTTTGTTGAATTCGGCTCTCGACTTAGCACCGCACACACTCGTTGTAAACATTGGCAAGAGTTTCACGGATTCCCATGGTCAGCGAGCGTACCAGAAATGATGTTTTGGAACGATTCTGGGCTGTCAAGGCGCAATGATTATGTTGATTCACTGTATTGACGTCCCAGGACTGGTGTTCTGGCTAGATTCCGGATCGTCAAGACGCGACACTCAGGTCGATTCGTGGCGTTGGGGTCCCGAGGATGGTGTTTGGCACGCTTCAGGACCTTCAAACGGTTGTCTCCCAATGGTGCACTTTCCTCCGTGGAAATCAACCCTTCTAGGGGCCTATGAGAAGGGAGCTTGGAGGGAGGGTTCATTCCAACATCGTTGGTGAATCGTGGGTTTACACTGGTCCTCCTCCTCCTCCTCCTCCTCCCTCCCTCCCTCCCTTCCTCCATACCCCCCCCCTCCCTCCCTCCCTCCTCCTCCAGGCAGGGGGGGGGGGGGCATGGCACCACCCGAGTCGCTGGCACCCCCTGCTCGCCTCCCGCGCCGGAGGCCTTGCCGCCCCTGACCCGCTCCGCTGAGCCTGGCCCAAGCTGCCCCAGGTTTCGCGCCAAATTCGAACCCCTGGGGCCCTCTCGGCCCCGTGCGCTCAGGAGGTCCTGGGGGCCCCCTGGGAAATCCTGGGGGCACCTCGGGCCAGAGACACTCGTAGCAACACCAGAGTCTCTCTGTCTATCAGCCTAGGGCACGCGCAAAGTCGGCGGACTGGCCCTGGATCTGTTGGAGCGGCGTGCCCCGTCTGTCTCGACGGAACTCGCCACGCCAACGTAAAGCTGAAGCGCACGTTCTTCTTATCGGAGGACAGGAACGAGAGCGAGCAGGAACCAGGATGGGAGATGGGGCAGACGCCTCTGCTCTGATCGATTGTAGTGCGAGTCAACGAGAAATTTGCGACGACCAACTCTTCTTTCCAATGCTCCAGCTTCTGGGCCGCTCGTCAAGAGTTCGAGGAGAAAGGCTGCGGTCACACGATGCACTATACTGCCTGCATGCTGCTGCCCGCGTGCCAGGCTCTCCCCAAATCCCCATACCAAACAAAAACAGGCCCCAACCATCCCCACGTTTGTCTGGGCTCTCCTGATTTTCGTCCCCCCCCCCTCCTGGTCTGAACCCGCGGGCTCTGCAGAGCCTCTCCGGGCCCAGGGCCGCCGCCGCATCCTCCGTCGGGGGTGCCCTTCCCTGGAACACTGACTTCCCACATCACGCGCTAAACGCACTCAGTGCCTATGATTTTATTTTTACGGTGAGGGACTTTTGCTTAGCGTGTCGCGGCGGCGGACCCTGGGACACGCTATGCCTTGCAGACTCATAGCAGGTCGCCATGCTTCGCGGGACAAGAGACTGGGAAAACCTCGGAACGCTGATGCTTGGGGATTGGGACTTGCATAATTAGCATGTTGGGCAGAAGCGTGGTGGGCCAGAACCGACAGCGCGACATGCGAAACGAACGTTCCTCACCGTACAAATGAACCTAGAGAACACTTGAGTGGAATCCTGGGCGGCAGCTGTTTTCCTGTCACGTGCCGAACCCATTCAAGGCCTCAGTGACTTCCGGACTGTAGTTCTAACCTTTTGTGTCAAACGCTGTGTTTCACGCCTCGAAAGCGTATGCAGAACCATGCAATCGCTTTGCCTGTCCGCATCCACGCAACATGATGCGGCCATCTTACAAACGAACTGCATATTGGGACGAAGTGCGTGCCATGTGGAAGAGGAGCGATGTACACAATAGTTGCGGTTGTGCAGCGCGGGCGAAGTGCCCCTCTGCTCCAGCACCTTTCCTCCGCAAGACAAAACATCGGAACGCGCGAGAGGACTCGGCGCGGAATGAAAACGGGGCGAATGACGGAGGGAGGAAATGAGAGGAGCAGATCGTGTTAGGTGTGCTTGCGCTTCATCTAATATGAAACATATCCTTTCCATCCCTTCCCGTTGCGTCCATGTTTTCCGTATCCGCGGTCGAGTGCCATGGACGACCTGCAATTCCACCTGAAAGACCACATCGTGGCATGCGCGATCGGAAAAAAAGGAACTGCGTGCAAAGACAGAGGAAGAGGAGGAGGAAGAGGAGGAGGAGGAGGAGGTGGCGGGTGAGCAGGGTGATGAACGGGAGGGAAAGGGCGAGAACACTCAGCAGCAGGAGCTACAGTGGAAGAAGCGGGAAGAGCAGGAGAATCATGGGAAGACGGCGGAGGGGAAATGAGGAGGGCGATGCCAATGAAGAAACACTCCGATCAGAAAAGTTGCACGCGCTGGGGCGAAAACGCCATTCTGAACGTCGGAAGCAAAACGCCGAGCCGAAAATGAAGGCCACGCACTGGCTGGAACACCATTTACACACCGAAAACAATCGGAATTTACAAACACATAAGAATTTGACTGGCGAAGAGCCCAGCCGCATGCAGTTGTGAATGCCGCAATTGTGAATTTCGTCTTCGGTGGCGCCCCCTACGGGGCCACGAACCGCGCGAGGGGTGCGCCGACATGCGTAGCACGAACGAAGACGACAGGCATAATTACGCGAGACTGAACGCGGGTGAGCCTGAGCGCGAATGAATCTGATTGTGAATGAGTCTGCGTGAGAGTGAGTCCACGCGCACCAATGTCGACGCCAATGTCGACGCGCCCCTCATGAGATCGCGCCCGCTTCCTTTCCTACTTTTCTCCCTCTGCGCCCGCGCGCACCAATGTCCGAGGCTGCGGGCGCAGCGCAGCGCGGAGTCCCCGCGACGCGCGCCGGTCGCCCCGAAGGGGTCCCAGCGGCGCGCGCGGGTCGTCCGCTGCGCGGATTGGCTGATAGCGGGCAAGGCTCTGGCCGCTGGGCAGAGCGACGACAGTCGAGCGAGGCGCAGGGCAGAGCACAGCACGGAGTTCCCGCGACGCGCGCTGGTCGCCCTGAGAAGGTCCCAGCGACGCGCACGGGTCGTTCGCAGCGCGGGGCCAAACAGTCAGACCGTCGTGAGAAGGCGAAGCTCGGACGGGCCTCGCCTCTGGTCAGGCCTGGCAGATAGAACTCGGCGAAGCCCAGCTCCCGGGCGAGGATCGTCGCCTCCCTTCTGCGCCGCTTCGTGCTCGCCGCAAACTGTTCCAGCTTCTTCCGTAAGCTCTCCAGCGAAACGTGGTGTGTGTGTGTTTGTGTGTTTGTGTGTTTGTGTGTTTGTGTGTTAGTGTGTTAGTGTGTTAATGTGTTAGTGTGTTAGTGTGTTAGTGTGTTTGTGTGTTTGTGTGCTTGTGTGTTTGTGTGTTTGTGTGTTTGTGTGTTTGTGTGTTTGTGTGTTTGTGTGTTTGTGTGTGTGTGTGTGTGCGTGCGTGCGTGCGTGCGTGCGTGCGTGCGTGGGTGGGTGGGTGGGTGGGTGGGTGGGTGGGTGGGTGGGTGTGTGTGTGTGTGCCGAACCAGGTGCGGGTACGCCATGCGGGCCCTGCCGCTGGGGCCTTCGGTGCTCCCAATGAGGTCACGAAGCGACCTTGCCGCTGTGGTCTGCGGTGGAGCTCCCTATGAGGTCACGAAACATGTGAAGGGTGTGCCGACGGGTACGCCATGCGGACCCTGCCGCTGGAGCCTTCGGTGGAACTTTCTACGGGGCCACGAAACGTGCGAGGGGTGTGTGCCGAATCGGGTGCGGGTGCGCCATGCGGACCCGGCTGCTGGGGCCTTCGGTGGAGCTCCCTAAGGGGCCACGAAGCGTGTGAAGGGTGTGCCGAATCAGGTGCGGGCACGCAATGCGGACCCTGCCGCTCGGGCCTTCGGTGGAACTCCGTGGGGGACCACGAAACGTATGGGGTGTGTGCCGAATCGGGCGCGGGTACGCCATGCGGAACCTGCCGTTGGGGACTCCGGTGGAGCTCCCCATGGGGCCAGGAAGCGTGCCGGGTGTGCCGAATCGGGTGCGGGTGCGCCATGCGGACCCTGCCGCTGGGGCCTTCGGTGGAGATCCCCATGGGGCCACGAAGCGTGTGAAGGGGTGTGCCGGATCGGGCGCGGGCACGCCATGCGGAGCCTGTCGCTGGGGCCTTCGGAGGAGCTCCCCATGGGGCCACGAAGCGTGTGGGGTATGTGCCGAATCGGACGCGGGCACGCCATGCAGACCCTGCCGTTGGGGCCTTCGGTGGAGCTCCCTATGGGGGCCACGAAAGGTGGGGTGTGTGCCCGATCGGGCGCGGGTGCGCGATGCGGACCCTGCCGCTTGTGCCTTCGGTGGAGCCCCTATGGGGCCACGAAACATGTGAGGGGTGTGCCGAATCAAGTGCGGGTACGCCATGTGGACCCTGCCGCTGGAGCCTTCGGTGGAGCTCCCTAGGGGGCCACGAAGCGTGTGACTGCCGCTGGGGCCTTCGGTGGAGCTCCCCAGGGGGCCACGAAGCGTGTGAAGGGTGTGCCGAATCAGGGGCGGGTGCGCCATGCGGACCCTGCCGCTTGTGCCTTCGGTGGAGATCCTTATGGGGCCACGGAACGTGTGAGGGGTGTGCCGAAATGGTGGACATGCGAAGAGCAGAGGCAAGGAGGGAGAGGAGGGGGGAGGGGGCAGCGGGAGGTGAGGGACGCGGGTCGCTCTCCTCAAAGCGAAGACCCAACACCACAGGATGGTTGGGAAACACCGATATGCATATATATATAAATATAGATAGATACACATTTTTATTTATTTATTTTTTTATATATGTAACTATTAATTAGTTGGTTTAAAAAAAAGACGCAGAGAGGGCCCGGTATCTTCCAGACGAAGTTAAGGAAACGAGGAAATTATTGGATGGAGGGAACGAGGGGGGGATCAGACAAGGGGAGGGGGAAGGAGAGCCCCTCTCCACTTTTTCCCTGCCCCTGGCCGTTGCCACCCCCGTCTCGCCCGCTCCCCCTCCCGCGCGCACGCCTCCAAGTTCGGGGTCCAGGCGGGGGGCTCCGGGAGGAAGACCTGCAGGAAGGGGGTCGCGGGTGGAAACGTGGAGCAGGGGTGGTCATGAAAGGTCGTTGCGTCTTGCTTTCTTCCTCCTTCCTTCCCGGCCTCCTTCTCCAGGTGCGTAATCACCATGACTGGGTGACACCAGAGTTACACAGCCCCCCGCCGTCAGGATACGACTCGGGGCCCACGCGCGCGCCTGAGCGAGCGTGCTGAGCCATTTTCGGATAGCTTGACCTTCCCGGCAGTCTGTGTTGCTCGGCTTCCTTTCTCTTCTCTCCACGATCATGCAATTGTGGGGTGCATCGTGCCGACTTTTGCCCTCGTCCAGGCCGCTCGTCGGAAATTGGAGTTGAATGAGCTGCGGTCAACCTCCTCCTCCTCCTCCTCCTTGTCTTCCTCCTCCTCCTTTCCTTTCCTTCTGAATAACTCCTCCTCGTCGTACCCCAAAGCCAATCGAAGGGCGCGCCGGGCGCTTCGCCTGATAATTCCATACCATTTGTGAACCTCAAGCTGAAAAGCTTGACAGATTGAGGGCGGCCCGCTTCCAAAATGCGGCTCTCGCCTTCGCGCGGCGCACATTCGTTTCAAACACATTCAAGATTTTCACCGATTGACGGCGGATATCTTAAAATATGGCTCTCGCCTTAGCGTCGTGCACATTCCCTTGAAACATACGCAAGAGTTTTACGCACTGAGGGCGGATGGCTTTCAAAATGTGGCTCTGGCCCCAGTGCCTCGCACACTCGTTCTAAAAAGCTGTAAATGGTTCCACGGATTGAAGGCGGGTCGTTTTCAAAACGTGGCGCGCCGCGCACAATAATTCGAAACATGTGCAAGAGCTTCACGGATTGAGGGCGGTTCCTTTTCAAAATGTGGCTCTCGACCCAGCGTCGCGCAGATTCGAATTAAGCATTTGCAAGAGTTTCACATATTGAGGGCGGTTCTTTTCAACATGTGCCTCTCGCCCTAGCGCGGCGCACACTTCGTTCTAAATAGTTGCAAACAGTCTCACGGATTGAAGGCGATTCCTTTACAAATTGTGGCTCTCGCCTTAGCGCCGCGCGCATTCGTCTTAACACTTCGGGGGAGTTTCACTGTTTTCATGGCGAACGTACCTGAAATGGCGCGTCGCTGCGATTCAGGACTGTCCGGGCCCAACATTACGTTGATTCGCGGTGTCGGAGTATCCAGGAATAGTGTTTTGGCACAGTACAGGATCGTCAAGCCGCGAAAGTCAAGTTGTCTTGTGGCGTTGAAGTCCTGAGAATCGTGCTTTGGCGCGCTTCAGGATTTTCACAGCCGACGGGGCACTTCCCTCAGTGGCAATTAACCCCTGTAGGGGCCTATGAGGAGGGAGCTTGGAGGGAGAGTGTATTGTAACATCGTTGATGAGTCTGGGGCTTACACTGGTCCTCCTCCTCCTCCTCCACCTCCTCCTCCTCCCTCGTCTTCCTCCCTCTTCCTCCTTGCTGTCTTGCCAGGGTATTTTTAACGTCCCTGCCACCGCGGCCAATCAGAGCAGCCTGGGCGCCGCACAGCCCCAAGGATCAGAGGGCTGGGCAAAGCTGGCGTGCGCGCTGCTCGCCGCCCCGCCGTCTTCTGTCTGTCCCCCTCGACCGATTGTGGGACGAGTCAATCCGTCAATCCGATGGTTGCGACGAACTGCCTCAGAATCCTCATGCAAAAACAAAGCTCCAAACCTGCCCGCCTTTGCCTGCCTTTCCCGCCCTCCATCCCACAGTGGATATCTCAATCCCTCCCCCTCCCCATCCCGCACCTGAGGGGACCGATGCCGCCACTCCATGGGCCATTCCCGTCCCCCTCTCCCTCACCTACCCATCCCTCTCTACATCCCTATCCCGCTCCCCCTCCCCCTTTCCATCCTCTTCCCCCTCTCTCTCTATATCCCCATCCCCCTTTCATCCCCTGCCTCCTTCCATCCCCCTGCACCTCGCCTCCCTTTCCATCCCTCTCCCCCTCGCCGTCTCCATCCTCCACACCCCTCTCTCCCTCCCCCGATCTCCCTCTCCCCCCCCTCGACAAAATGTGGGGGGCGAAGCAAACTGACAACTGCGACGACCAGCTCTTTTCCCCATGCTCGAGGCTTTCGCGGTACCTCTTCAAGAGCTTGAGGAAAAAGCTGCGCTGCTCTCCATCCTCCCCCCCCCTGTCTCGAAGAAGGGCAAGCTGAGGCAACGGCGGCTCTCCCCCGCCGGGCCCGAATCCGCTCACGATTCCTCCCGGAGCCCAGCCCCTGACATCCGCCGATCTGATTTGTTCCAATCCGCGGGCCACCCCGGATGGGTCTCCGGGCCCGAAAATAAGCCCGGTGCTCGACAACGGGTTACCGAGGGGCAAACTTTGAGAAACAGCACCGGTTGAAAAGACCAAATCGTCGGTGATCTGGGTTTCGAGGCGGATCCAGCGACGTGGCGACGAGAAGCCTCCAGCACAACCGAAAAAGCACGGAAGAGCGCCAGGGAGGGCACGCCGTTACTGGGCTGGGCCTCCTCCCGTGTTGTTCCTCTCGCCGTGCCCGCCGGGAGAGCACGGCGGGAGGACAAAGAACCGGCGTTTTCTCTCGCCCTGAGGATTTGGGGCGGGAGAAAAAGTCGGAGGGCGGGAGGGAAAATAACGACCTTTTCTTCACGGCAGGAGGGAGGAGGCCTTCCTCGAGTAGGAGATCGACTGCAGAATTGACTTACCCCAGACTTGAAATGTCCGTCGAACCTGCAAACAAAAACGCAGAATGCTCCGTAGATCTACAGAGTATTCGAGATTTTGTTCGCAGATTCGACGAACAACTCATTTTGGGGGTGAACAAATTCTGTAGTCGATCCCTCCCTTTCCTTTCGCGCCCCTGCTAAGCGAGCCAATCGGGTGTTATGGCTTGATGCTGCCGCCTCTCCCCGGCCCTCTGCCTCACACCGCTCCGCCTGGCAACAGCTCCTCGGCCACCATCTGCAGTTTGTAATCGACACCCTACTCGACGTTCCTCCCGCCAAGCCCTCCTCCTTCCCTCTCGGCGAGCCTGTTTCGGGCTCGACATGGGCGTGAAGGCGGGCGCCTTCGGCGACAGCACTGGGGTCTGCGCGCGCGGGGGAAATAGTGCGCGAGGAGGCCCCGGCCGGGGCTAGCGGCGCACCTTTGGCACATTCTGTTACGATTTCCCCCCGCTCCAAGACATCAAATAGACGAGGACGAGAATACAGATCGCAGACGAGGATCCTCGGATCGCGCCATGAAACCATGGATGGTCGGAGTCGGAAGCGTGTGCAGGCTAACGGATGCGAGCAGCCCAGAGGCTGGGCGTCCAGGGCGAGGACGTGCCGTTCGTCGTTCGTCGGCATCGCCGTCACACTCCTCCTCTCCACATTTGGGTTCTGTTCGAACGCTATGATTAGGTGGTTACTGTTTCGAGGAGGCCTGCCCACATGCAGTTTGGAGGTCATTGTCCACCCCAGGTGCCTTCCCCTCATTCACCTCCTCCTGCTCCTGCTTCTGCTCCTCCTCCTCCTCCTCCTCCTC